GGTGTTCATCAGAAGGGGTATCGTTATTACCATCCTTCAACTCGACAAATGTTTGTGACAATGGATGTTGTTTTTCATGAAGAATTCATGTATTTTTCTTTTGAGTCTGGACTTCAAAAGGAGTATTTTCAGGAAGAAATTCAGACTCTTGACTATGTTGTTCAAGATATGGAAGACCATGACTCACAAAATAGGCCTGTTGATCAACAAGAAGATGAAATGGATAATGAAAATATGGAGGTAGATCTGAATCCGCTCAAAGAGTCTCTCAATCCGAGTCCCTCATACCTGATAGACCACAACCATCTCCTGTTGAGAATGTCCCTGGTTTGGAGTCTGAACCAATTGAGTCTAAACCAATTGAGCCTGAACCAATTAGGAAACAGTTACCATCATGTAGTACTAAAGGGATTCCTAAACCAACATATCAACCTGAACTATCTAGTAAGGTTAGATACCCTATGAGTCATTATATGTCTAACCATCATTTGTCAGAATCAAATTTGTCATTTGTAAATCAAGTATCTGTTGTATCTATTCATAACAGTGTGGAAGAAGCCTTATCTGATCCAAAATGGAAAGATACTATGAATGAAGAGATGAGATCATTACAGAAGAATAAAACATGGGAACTTGTTGATCGTCCACCATGAAAGAAGACTGTTAGATGTTGATGGGTTTACACTGTGAAGTATAAAGCTGATGGTACAATTGAAAGATTCAAAGCAAGACTAGTAGCAAAAGGGTACACCAAACCTATGGGATAGACTATACAAAAACATTTTCACCCGTAGCTAAAATCAATACAATATGTGTCTTATTATCTTTAGCTGCAAACCTAGATTGGCCCTTACAACAATTCGATGTAAAAAATGCTTTTCTACATGGAGAATTGTCAAAAGAGATCTATATGGATCCTCCACCAGGGTGTATTTTACCAGAGAAGCACAGCCAAAATGTATGTAAGTTAAAGAAATCTCTACATGGGTTGAGGCAATCTCCGAGGGCATGGTTTAGGAGGTTCACAAAAGCTATGACATCTTTTGGCTACTATCAAAGCAATTCATATCATACATTGTTCCTTAAAAAATAGTAAGGAAAGATCACTACACTTATTGTATATGTGGATGATATGGTGGTTACAAGAATAGCTACTATCAGAGCAATTCATATCACACACTGTTCCTTAAAAAATAGCAAAGAAAGATCATTGCACTTATTGTATATGTGGATGATATGATGGTTACAGGAAATGATCCAAAAGAAAGGAAGGCCCTAGAAAAATACTTGTCAAAGGAATTTGAGATGAAAGACCTAGGTTCTTTGAAATATTTTCTTGGAATCAAAATGTCTCGATCTAACAAAAGTATCTTTCTATCACAAAGAAAGTATGTCTTGGATGTGTTGTAGGAAACTGGTATATCAGCATGTCAACCAGCTGATACACCAATCGAAGAAGGTTTGAAATTAGGAGTCGAGACTAATCAAATACTAGTTGGCAAAAGGAGATACCAGAGACTTGTGGGAAGATTGATGTACTTATCACACACTAGGTCAAATCTTGCTTATGCATTGAGTATAGTCAGTCAATTCATGCATAATCTTGGAGAGCAACATATGAACGCAGTTACACGTATTTTGAGATATTTAAAACATGCTCCTGGAAAAGGAATCCTATTTACTAAAAATGAGGACTACCAAAATGGGAATGCATATACTGATGTTGATTGGGCTGGAGTAGTGGATGATAGACAATCTACTTCTAATTATTTCACTTTTGTAGGTGGTAATCTAGTCACTTGGAGAAGCAAAAAACAGAATGTTGTGGCACGCTCAAGCGCTGAAGCAGAATTTAAGGGAATGGCACTTGGGATTTGTGAAGCTTGGTGGCTAAGATTTCTCTCGCAAGGTTTGGGCTATCAATCTAATCAACCAATCCAGTTATATTATGACAATAAAGCAGCATGTGACATTGCTCACAATCCAGTTCAACATGATCATATGAAGCATGTTGAAGTAGATAGATTTTTTATCAAAGAAAAGCAGGATGAAAAGATCTTTGAATTGCCTAAGATTCGTTTAGAAGATCAGTTGGCCGATATTCTTACCAAAGTTGTCTTCAAATGTATTTTCTCACAAGTTTTAGACAAGTTGGGCATGTGTGACATCTACGCACCAACTTGAAGAGGAGTGTTGAGATTTTAGCAATATTTCTTGAATATTTCAGGATCTTCTTATTTTGTTAGTTTAGGATACTCATAATGTCTTTGATATCCTGTAATCTCTTAATTATGTCTGTATATTGTAATTGGCATAATTAAGAGATTCCATAGATTTTATCCTCCCTATATAAAGCTTGTAACTCTTACTGAATTAATCAATAAATGGAAAATACGATTCTTCAAATTTAGAGAAGACCCCATGTAGCCTAACCAATTTTAATTTAAATGAAATTATTCTGTTCAAGTAAACATATCTATTCACCTACCACGAAGAAAAAGTCTTACAAGATGAAAGGGATATTAATTTAATTTTCATCCATTCAAAACCAATCCAATAATTTTATTATCCCATTTGGTTTAATAAAAACAGAAAGAAGCTGTCAAAGATGAAATAGTTTTATAATTAATTTGGCAAATGTAAAAAAATTATATAATTACCTTGTTTTAATAAGACTCTTTCAACTTTAGAAGGATAATTGCCAAGAAAACTTGATTTAGAGCCATAATCTTCAACATCAACATTGACTTTTGACATAAAATTACCTTTTTTTTATAAGTAGATTGAGACTTTTCGCCAGGTAGAAAATACTTCTAGAAAATATGTACTCATATTTCTAGAAGAAGTATTTTATCTTTCTGTTTCTTTTGTATAATTTTTAATGTTCTTAAGGTGAGAATTTTGATATCAAACATAGACATAGATAGCCTTAATCTTCAACATCAACATTGATTTTTGACATAAAATTACCTTATTTTTATTAGTAGATAGAGACTTTTTTGCCAAGTAGAAAATACTTCTAGAAAACATGAACATAGAAGTATTTTATCCTTTTTGTTTCTTTCGTATAATTTTCAATGTTCTTAAGGTGAGAATTTTGATATCAAACGTAGACATAGATAGCCTTAATCTTGAATAATATATTTTTCTTATTTCATTGAAAAATAATATTGTTCAATTTTCAATTCTTATCATAACCCCCCCATGGACCTCTCACCAATTAATAAGCAGAAGTTCCCTCGTTTATACATAGCTTTTACATGGTTAAAATTGCTTCTTTTTCAGGAAAACTTGAAATAAAATTGTGTTCACATAATAATATTGGCAAACGAAATCATCCCATCTCAAAAGTCATATTTTAAAACGAACAAATATATGTTTAAGAAAATTGAGAAAGAATATAACATAATTTTTCTATACAAAATAATAATAAGAGAGAGAAAGAAAATAATAATAATAAAAGACTAATAACTCATGAACAATTTTTTTTTTCGGTGACCACGGGTGTCTCAGCCACCTCGACCAATTCCTTACAACTTTGAAGTTAACAATTGAGTAAACCCTCCAGTGGCCACCTCTATTAGCAAACAAGGGGAATCGAACTCAAAACCACTCGAGTAATACACTCAAGAGTCTCTATCGTCCAACCCGATTACCCAAGGGTGGTTCACGAAGAAAAATTATGAAATCTGCCCTCTTTCTAGTGCCAAACTATTAATGTTTGATTTTGACACCAACGACTTCACACGTGTAAAATGCTAAGAAGTCACACGTGAGTTGATTACCCAAGGGTAGGGGAATCGAACTCAAAACCACTCGAGTAATACACTCAAGAGTCTCTATCGTCCAACCCGATTACCCAAGGGTGGTTCACGAAGAAAAATTATGAAATCTGCCCTCTTTCTAGTGCCAAACTATTAATGTTTGATTTTGACACCAACGACTTCACACGTGTAAAATGCTAAGAAGTCACACGTGAGTTGATTATAGTGAATAGGTAAGGTACTGAGAGCACAGTAGTATGCAAAGACGTAAATAAAAAGTTGGCAAGATGATTTTTATAATGATTCAAATACTTAAAGCTAATCCTACATCCACTGTGTTTGTTTATATAAATATTACATTCTGATCGCTAGACAAGCTTACAAGAGCTCGCGAGCTACGATCTGGGATTACAAGGGTTTGGTGTGCTAAGTGTTCTTAGAGAACGTCAAGCCAATCTCTTTTTAATAGCCTGTCTTGGCTATTTTATTTGTTGAATGCATGAATGTCTAACCTATATTTTGTGAGAGGGAGCTACCTATTTATACTCGTTTAGCTCAAGGTAATGATCACACTTTTGCAAGTGGCATGGTGTCGTGTAGATCTCTCATGTCTTCCTAGTCGTTGAGAACTCAAATAATATCTTTAAATTAAATAGGGTTTGGACAGGTGTGCAAACCAAAATCACTCGAGCACAAATTCTTGAGTCTGTTTGGGTCTGTAACAGCTATATTCATCTTGCCTTTAAAGACGTGTCATGTTTTGGACGGTGGAATGACTTCTTAGATTCTGATTGGTGCTCAATAACGTCAGCATAAGTCAACTCTTATTTTAGCCATAAAATTAGTAATAGAGTTGGGCAAGCAAGACTTTCTTATCAATGATATTCAACAACTCTCAAAAATCAAAATACACTTAATATAGCCTATATATAGTGATACAATTTCACCAAATACCACATGTGACTTTATTAAGACCCCACAAACTAAATAATGATCAAAGTCAGAAAACAAATTGCAAGAAAGTGTTCAGGAAATAGCACGCTTTATCCCCTGCCCATCATATTTGAACACCCTTTTCCAAATGTTCAAATTATAATATTTATTCTTTCTAATCAATTAATTTTACTATTCCAATTTAGATTATTCTCTGTCTCTCTCTCACACCTTGCATGTAAACTCCTCTATATATAAATAGAGCTAAAGCTTGAAGATTGAAACTTGCAATTCTCTCTTGTCTCTCACTTTCTCTTCTCAAGGAAAAAAGGAGAAGCTAGAGAGAGACTATTTCAGAGATTGTTGGAGAGATTACAAAGTGAGAAAAATTATAGAGGAAAGTTTTTAACAGAAGATTATTTCAGGACTCCACCAAACGATCTAAAACTCTCTCTCTATCTCTCATAAAGAGAGAGTACTTGAGCGCTTCAAGTTTTCTGTATTTTGATCTAATCATAATTTAAGGAATTAAGCAAGTGCTTAATTTTCTTGCAGTCATCTCTTCACTTTTGTCTTTCTTCATACACACAAAGGTTAAAAAATCCCAGAATAATGTGACAAACATGAAACGTTTTAGGTTTTTTTTTTTTTTTTTTTTTTTTTTTCTCTTAGGTTTTTAATCATCTTTGGTTTTTCCTGAAAACTGAAAACCAGGGCGAGCAAAAATGGATCAAAACATGAGAAATTCGCGGCGAACGAGCATAAGCAGGAGTTTAAGCAGGAGTAGTTGGAACATGGAGGAGGTATTTGCAGGAGGTAGAGATTCGAGAAGAAGTAGCCGAATTGATGAAGATGAGGAAGCTCTCAGATGGGCTGCCATTGAAAAGCTTCCAACTTATGACAGATTGAGAACAAGTATTATGCAGTCTTATCTCGAGAATGAAACTCCAGGACAAAAAATGCCTCACAAAGAAGTTGATGTCACGAAACTTGACGTCAATGATCGCCAAAAATTCATCGATAAACTTTTTAGAGTTGCCGAAGAAGACAATGAAAAATTCTTGACCAAGTTCAGAAATAGAATTGAAAAGTAAGTTTTTATTCAATATGTTCTTAACGAATTCCTGCAAGAGAAAGCCACATATTTTAATCATTTAAATAAACTATAATATACTTACGTTCAGTTATTAGACTAGTCGCTGAAGGTTTTGCTATTATATATTTGAAGTTAGTTACTAGGCTGATGGCTAAAGGTTTTACTATTATATATTTGTTGAAAATCGCAAGAGTAAAAAAACATAAAATTAAAGAATAGCAAATAACAATATACATAGTCACGCGATATTTTACATGGTTTAGCATAATTTATCTATATCCACGAATGGGAGGGTTTTTACTATAATAATATGAATACGATACAAGTGTTTCATAACACCATCAACCTTCATTCTAGGAATCGCTGGATCTCCTAAAACTTAATTTTTTTTTTTTTTTCTTCTTGTTTATCTTTTCTTTCTTCAATTACCCAAAAGTGTTCACATTCCAACACTCCTCCTTGAACATTTTTGGTAATTCATCTTCTAAGCTTGTTCTTCATTCTCTTACTCCTCCTTTCTTCTACAACTTCAGCCTACCACCCTTAGTGTTAGCTTCTTCTCTCCAACACCCTTAGTGTTGGCTTCTTCTCTCCAATCTTCTGCTGGAGTCATCTCTTCTTCCTCCACTCTTTGTTGGAGTCTCGATGGCTTTCTCTCATCGATCTTGGGGCCGACATTCTTGTAGACTATCACCCTGCAATTTTCGCTTCATCTTCCATATGCCCCTTCTCCATAGGTCCCTAAAGAAAATAAGCTCTGATACTATGTTGGAAATCGGAGAAGTAAAAAAAATAATAATAAAGAACAACACAAAATTACATACAAAGACACACGATATTTTAGGTGGTTCGGCATAACTTGCCTACATCCACAGATGAGAGGATTTTCATTATAATAATATGAATACGATACAAGTGTTTCATCACACTATCAATCTTCATTCTGAGCGATCGTCGGATCCTTTAATTTTTCAGCCAAACATCTTGTTTCTATGGTGTTTAATACCCCTTGGTATTTACCCGATACCTAGAGCCCTCTACCCTATGGTACCCTTATATTAAAACCTCTTGTATCCTCACAATCTCTCTTTCTTTACTATCCTCTCTCATAACTTTGAATTAGTTCTAACCCTTCTATTTATAGGTAAAATAGGACATTTTTTTCTACTATATTCATATTTTTTACTCTAATTTAATTCATTGTCCTATTTTAACTCTAAATAAAATCCTAAACCAATTATTATTTCCTAATAAAACTCAAAGTAAACAGAAAACAAATATTCTCAATTACAAATTCCTAAACTAAAAATTTGCCTAAAACTTAAATTTCTTTGTCTTCTTGTTTGTCTTTTCTTCATCAATTACCAAAAAGTATTCACATTCTAATAATATTAATTGTTTGATATCTTGAACTGTTCTATATGTGTTATAGACATAGTTTTGTGGTTGCTAGCAAGTCTCTACGAATTTCAGATTAGAGCCAAACAAAATAAACCAAAGGAAGAATTTTGGCAAGGGCAAATTTGCTTCAAAAGGAATCAAAATTGACATGTTTTTGTCTTGTTCTCGTCCATTAATTTCTTTACCGTAATTAATGCGATCTCACTATCGAACTTAAATGTTAAAAACATCTTTATTTATTGATTAAATCTTCATTAATTCATTATGTGACAATTTCTGCAGGGTGGGGATTAAACTTCCAACAGTTGAAGTTAGATTTGAACACTTAACAATTGAAGCCAATTGCCATGTTGGTAACAGAGCTCTTCCCACTCTCCCAAATGCTGCAAGAAACATTGCAGATTCGGTTCTTAGCATGGTTGGAATCAATTTGGCCAAGACAACTAAACTCACAATCCTTAAAGATGCCTCAGGAATCATAAAACCATCAAGGTATAATAATATAACATAAATCTTAATCATTGGAACCTAAAATACAAACAGTTATATATCCGAATGACAGATAAAGAAATCCGTATTAACCCTCAAGGTTTTAATTTTCTACAGAATGACCCTCTTACTGGGTCCACCATCATCAGGGAAAACAACCCTTTTGCTTGCATTAGCTGGAAAGTTGGACCCAAGCTTGAAGGTCGGTGACAATACTTGGTCAAAATATTGTAGCATGAAGAATTAAATTACTTTAATTTATGGCAACTTTTTTATTCTTTACATGAAACTGCAGGTTAGAGGAGAAGTTACATATAATGGGTACAGGATGAATGAGTTTGAGCCACAAAAGACCTCAGCATATATCAGCCAAAATGATGTTCACGTTGGAGTAATGACTGTGAAAGAAACTCTTGATTTCTCAGCTAGATGCCAAGGAGTTGGATCTAGATATGGTAATTAGAAAAATAAATAAATAAAATAAAATAAATCACATCTTTGTACAACTTTTAATTTGATAATTTATGTTTGTAGAACTCCTCGCTGAACTTGCAAGAAGAGAAAAACATGCTAGCATTTTGCCAGAAGCCGAAGTGGATCTCTTCATGAAGGCAACTGCAATGAAAGGAGTTGAGAGCAGTCTCATTACAGACTACACTCTCAAGGTAATTAAACTGGGATTTAATTCTTTAATTTTTTAGTCATATTTCTTGTTAACATAATGGTTAAGATAAGAAAGATGTGAAGACTGTCGAGCAAATTAGATTTCAACAACTCAAAGTTAAAGATCATATAGGTCCACCAACTTTAAGACTTTAGTTTGTGTCCACATTTTCTCCTGTTGTCTAGCTCTGTTATGCAACGAAAACAAGAAACTCTAACGTTAACTAGAAATAAATAGCCAAAATAAATGCAAAAATAAATAACACTAGAAATGAACTTCAGAAATAAATAGCAAAAATAAATGCAAAAATAAATAACACTAGAAATTAATGAGGTTCAGTGATATTACTTACATAGCACTACAAAAGAAACTCTACTATCTACCAAAAAAAAAAAAACATTACAAACTTTCCAAAAATAGATTTGGATACTCAAATCAAAGCCTAATATCCCTGTGTATAGCTTGACTATCCAATGTGGGACTTAAGGAAAATCCCACCCCTTTTATATAAGAAACTAAGACTTGACTCCTTAGTTTCCTAACCTATGTAGGATTTAAGCAAAATACAATATTTCAACTGTTTGAACCACATTTTTAACAAGCTTTACATATTTGTTCTTGGTGGATAATGAGGGCCCAATTTTTTTTTTTTTTTTTTTTTAATTTTCGGTACCAACTTTTCATATCATGAACTTGTTAACTCAGAGCCCTCCAAGTTAATTAAATTTTTATTATAATTTCCATGGAAAATAATCTATTCATGTTTTGGATTGAACAGATTTTGGGACTTGATATTTGCAAGGACACCATTGTTGGAGATGAGATGCAAAGAGGCATTTCTGGTGGACAGAAAAAGAGAGTAACAACAGGTTATTTTTATATTTTCTTTAATATTTTTTGTCTAGACAGAATGAGCAATACCAAGTTGGCAATTTCAATCTTTGAAGCCAATTTCTTGAATTGAATTAGTTGAACTCTCACCAACTCTAAATCTTTCAATTCAACATATTTGGAATCAGAAGGTGGAGGAGGCCTTATGTTTCTCTACAGCTGAAATGTCAGTTTCATTTCACATTTGAGAATTGCAGCCAAAAGAATAACCTTGTTAATATTGTTTTTCATATGGGTTCTGAAAATGACATAAATTAGCATGCAATTGAAACTACGACCGGAACTAGTTCTAAATGAAAATATATTTGACACTTAAAAAACATTGCCAATACTAGCAAAAACACTTTCTGCACATTCGTATTATACTACATGATGTTATCGGATAAGTATCACACTTGTCACTCTGAAAATGTTTTCAGTACTGTTAAAAAACATTTTTTTCACACATATACTGAAATGGGTTCACATTCGTTAGACATTGTAATGTTATCGGATCAATATTGTAGTCATGTTGATCGAAAGATTGTTAAATTGTGATTATTGATACAGGGGAGATGATTGTTGGACCCACCAAAACACTGTACATGGATGAGATATCAACTGGTCTAGATAGCTCCACAACATATCAAATAGTGAAGTGTTTGCAGCAGATTGTGCACCTCACTGACGCCACGATCTTGATGTCCCTTCTTCAGCCTGCTCCTGAGACGTTTGATCTTTTTGATGATGTGGTTCTCTTATCAGAAAGCAAGATTGTTTACCAGGGCCCACGAGATAACATTCTTGAATTCTTTCAGAGTTGTGGGTTCAGATGCCCTGAGAGAAAGGGAACTGCTGATTTCTTGCAAGAGGTACTAAAATCATGTGATATCACTTTTATACATAACACGAGTAGTAACATAATTTCGATCGACTATTTTAAACTAATTCGATAATGGTACTGGTTCAGTAGTGTAACAGTTTCATTTAAGTAAATCATATTGTTTGGACACGTAGCTGAATTGGTAGAATTGCTACAGGTTACTTCCAGGAAGGACCAGGAGCAATATTGGGCAGACAGGAGCAGACCATACAGATACATTTCAGTGACTGAGTTTGCAAATAGGTTCAAGAGATTCCATATAGGAATGCATCTTGAGAATGAGCTATCTGCGCCTTTTGACAAGTCCAGGGGCCACAAGGCAGCTCTAGTTTTCGATAAATACTCTGTCCCGAAAATGGAACTACTCAAGACTTGTTGGGACAAAGAGTGGCTATTGATCAAGAGGAATGCATTTTTCTATGTGTTCAAGACAACGCAGATTATTATCTTCGCGGTCATTGCATCGACAGTGTTTATAAGGTCTAAATTGCATACCAGAAATGAAGACGATGGAGCATTATACATTGGTGCATTGTTATTTTCACTGATCAATAATATGTTCAATGGCTTTGCTGAGCTTTCACTCATGATTTCAAGACTTCCAGTGTTTTACAAGCAGAGAGACCTTAAGTTTCATCCTGCTTGGACATTCACACTCCCAACTTTCCTGCTCGGAATCCCGATATCTGCTTTTGAGTCCATTGTCTGGGTTTCCTTGACATATTACTCAATAGGATTTGCACCAGAAGCTAGCAGGTAACTTTATTATTTGAATGTTAATACTAAGATAAGATGAGAAAATGAGTACTAATATAGCAACTTATTACATACACATTTTCAGGTTTTTCAAGCATCTGCTAGCGGTGTTTCTGATTCAACAAATGGCTGCTGGGATCTTCAGGCTTATTGCTGGAGTGTGCAGGACTATGATCATTTCCAATACGGGCGGTGCTCTCACTCTCCTCCTTGTGTTTTTGCTGGGAGGTTTCATTCTTCCTAAAGGTTAATGTGACAACCTGACCTTAAAATAAAATAACACATAAAATAGAGTAGATAGCAATTATAATTATGATTAATGAATTAACATGAGAGTTGCTTCATTGGTAACAGGTCAAATTCCAAAATGGTGGAGTTGGGGCTACTGGGTTTCACCTTTGACATATGGTTTCAATGCCTTTGCTGTGAATGAAATGTATGCTCCTAGATGGATGGACAAAATGGTATGTTATTTCATTATGTTATGGTGTCATATCACATATCTCAAGTGATTGCAATATTGACAATGTGCTTGTCGGACTTCAGGCCGCAGACAATGTCACCACATTGGGAGTGGCAGTGCTCAGATCCTTCGATGTTCCCACTGACAGAAACTGGTTTTGGATTGGTGTGGCAGCCCTTTTCGGGTTCACAGTTCTGTTCAATGTTCTCTTTACATTTGCGCTCATGTACCTAAATCGTAAGTCTTTACATTGTGTTCAAGGTGTTTCTTTTGGTGAAAAATTTATTCTCTTCATTGTGGTGACTAATTGTTGTACTCTATATTAGCTCTTGGAAAGCCACAAGCAACACTTTCTGAAGAAACAGCCGCAGAGATTGAGGCTGGCCAGGAGGAAACAAAGGAGGAACCAAGATTAGTAAGGCCAAAATCAAAGAAAGATTCATTCCCTCGATCACTATCTTCTGCCGGCACGAACAATTCAAGTAAGAAATGGCATGATATTGTTCTTAAGAATTCTATCCACACTTAGTTACAAGTTTCTAAATGGACTTAAAATTTTGTAGGGGAAATGATAATCCAGAGAATAAGCAGCAGGTCCAATCGCAATGGACTAAGTAGAAATGGTGATGCTTCTCTTGGGACAGCCAATGGTGTTGCTGCTAAAAGAGGAATGGTTCTGCCTTTCACTCCTCTTGCAATGTCATTCGACACTGTGAATTACTCTGTGGACATGCCTCCTGTAAGAATCTCCTTTCCTCATCACTGCACAATAAGAAATAGCAATTGTATCAAGAGTCCTTGTGAATTCCAAATGTCAATGTTATTCATAAATTTGGTCGTTGTATCAGGAAATGAAAGAGCAAGGTGTAGCAGAGGACAAGCTCCAGCTACTTAGGGGTGTAACAGGTGCATTCAGGCCTGGACTATTGACAGCTCTAATGGGAGTCAGTGGAGCAGGAAAGACAACTTTGATGGATGTTTTGGCTGGAAGAAAGACTGGCGGTTACATTGAAGGTGATGTTAGAATCTCAGGATTCCCTAAGAAACAAGAAACCTTTGCAAGAATTTCAGGGTACTGTGAACAAACCGATATCCACTCGCCCCAAGTCACAGTTAGAGAATCCTTGATTTACTCAGCTTTCCTTCGGCTCCCTAAAGAAGTCAGCAAAGAGGAAAAGATGGTAACAACAATGACCAGTACAACTACATCAACACATAGTGTTCGGAAAAAATTGAAGTACTAAAACAGTTTGTTGGTTTTTTCCTTTCAGCTTTTTGTGGATGAAGTGATGGAATTGGTAGAGCTAGTTGGTCTCAAGGATGCTATAGTGGGATTGCCAGGAGTTACAGGGCTGTCAACCGAGCAGAGAAAGAGATTGACAATAGCAGTGGAGCTTGTTGCTAATCCCTCAATCATTTTCATGGATGAACCAACATCTGGCCTCGATGCAAGGGCAGCTGCCATTGTTATGAGGACTGTGAGAAACACTGTGGATACTGGTAGGACTGTTGTTTGCACCATTCATCAACCTAGTATCGATATCTTCGAAGCCTTTGATGAGTTGCTACTGATGAAGAGAGGAGGACAAGTGATCTACGCAGGACCACTGGGAAAAAATTCTCACAAGATCATTGAATATTTTGAGGTACCTTACTCTTCTTGAAATGCTCTTCCTCTAGTAGTTTGAAAAGAAGGTTGCATTATCTAATTCATCTAATGTAAACTCATAGGCTATTCCTGGAGTCCCTAAAATTAAAGAAAAATACAATCCAGCAACATGGATGCTAGAAGTGAGCTCAGTAGCAGCCGAAGTTCGTCTAAACATGGACTTTGCCGAATATTACAAATCATCAGCTTTGTTCCAGTGAGTGATTTCAGAAAAAGTAACTTTTCATGAGATACCAAATATGTTCTATGTTTCTGAACTAACACATTTGTGTATGAATAGGCGAAACAAGGCATTGGTTAAGGAGTTAAGCACACCACCACCAGGAGCAAGAGACCTTTACTTTCCCACTCAATATTCTCAATCTTCATGGGGACAATTCAAGTCTTGTTTTTGGAAGCAGTGGTGGACTTATTGGAGAAGTCCTGACTATAATCTTGTTAGATACTTTTTCACCTTGGCTTCTGCTCTGATGGTTGGAACAATTTTCTGGAAAGTTGGCACTAAAAGGTCAGTAGATTTCTCATTCACAAAATTCAAGTCCTCATTCACTAATAGTAACTGCGATATCCTGCAAAAAGTACTCACATTCTCAATGTTCTGCTTCTTTCAGGGAGGACACAAGTGATCTTACCATGATCATTGGTGCCATGTATTCTGCTATATTGTTTGTCGGTGTCAATAACTGCTCCACGGTACAACCAATAGTAGCAATTGAAAGAACGGTGTTTTATCGCGAAAGAGCTGCCGGAATGTACTCTGCATTACCTTATGCCCTTGCACAGGTGAGTCTAAGGAACTGAAATTAGGTGTCAATACTTAGAAACTTTTTCTGTGTCCATATTCAACAAACTTTACTCAATTGCAATTTTATGTTTTGCAGGTGGTTTCCGAGATACCATACGTCTTCGTTCAAACCATATATTATACCCTCATTGTGTATTCCATGGTGAGCTTTGAATGGAGAGTAGCCAAATTCTTTTGGTTCTTCTTTGTCACATTCTTCTCCTTCTTATACTGGACATACTACGGAATGATGACTGTTTCCATCACACCAAACCACCAAGTAGCAGCTATATTCGCAGCAGCATTCTACGCGCTCTTCATTCTCTTCTCCGGCTTCTACATCCCAAGACCGGTATGTTAATCAACTTACTTGACTCTCGAGCAACTAAAAACGCAACTTAACCGTATGCATTCTAACACAAACTACTTGTTGAAATTTCAGAGAATTCCCAAGTGGTGGGTATGGTACTACTGGATTTGCCCGTTAGCGTGGACAGTGTACGGATTGATCGTGTCACAATACGGAGATGTCGAAGACCCGATTCGAGTGCCCGGAATGGAAACTAGGCCTAGTATAAAGTGGTACATTGAGGACCATTTTGGGTTTGATCCAAACTTCATGGGACCAGTGGCCGCAGTTTTGGTTGGGTTCACAGTCTTCTTTGCCTTCACGTTTGCCTACAGCATAAAGACTTTGAACTTCCAAACCAGATAGAAGAGAATTCACCATAGCCGAATCTTGTTGAAGCATGTGTCACAGATCAAATTAATCAGCAGAAAATAAGGAATATGAGTTTAGTTTACAAGTTTTGGAGTTTGGGCATGTAAATGTAAATGTAAAAGGTTACCACCCAAAATGAGAAATGCATTCATATTACCATCAAAATGTTATATTTTGATTTCTTCCAATTCTTTTTATGTTTACCACCCAAATAATAGTTTAATGACACTTTTTGACTTCAAACTTTTAAAATACTACTTTACTATCCAAATTTATATTCTAACAACGAATAAAGGGCAAACTCGTTACAAGCTGTTAGGACTTTTGAAGAGGGAATGTCAATGAGTCTTTTAATAGTGGAAGGTTAGATTTTGGTAATTGGAATTGATCGGAATTTGACTTGAATGGAGGGCTGCGCAAACCCTATACGCTCGATTGCCGACAATTAATATGGTCGACATCAGTAAGGTGTAAGGTGTTTTAGTGAGTGATGATCGGGGAAAAAAATGGTGATGGTGTTAGGTCGCATCGATATCTGAATCAGAAGAATATAAATTTGAGTAATAAAATGGTATTTTAAAAGTCTCTAAATGGAAAAGTGTCATTAAACCATTATTTAGATGGCTTACACCTTACTCCATAAAACAATTACAAACATCCAGATTTAATATGTATAAAATATAAATTATACATATCATGTGAAAAGACACAACAATTTACATGATTTGGTATAATTTGACAACATTTTATCAATGAATTTTTTTTTTTTTTTTTTTTTTTTTGGTACCATTAGAAATAAACTTCAAATATTTGGATTAATTAATTAATTATTTGGCTTAAAAAATAAATCAACTTTCAACAACCTTTGTTATTACCCACATGGATGGTCCTTCTAATCACCAAAATATTGTTACTTGTTAGTTACCACAATATTTTACCAGCAATGTACCGTAAAAAAAAAAAAAAAAAATCAACTGTGGAGACCAAACTTGTTGGGCTGGAGCCTTTTGTTATTGGGCCGGATTTGATCCATAACGGATGTCAGCAAGCTTCACCAACTGCAAGTCTACAACCCAAAGGCTTCACGTGATAACGCAGGAACGAACTTTATTTAACAAACGTGCAAAGCATCGAAGCACGAGTCAGCAGTGGGTCCCGGTGGCAGCATCTCAAGGTACAACAAGACAAAGCATCGTGAGTATTAACGACGACAGTAAAGTTAACCACTGTTAAAAAAAACAAAGGTGACTGAAGCCATCACTGTCGGATCAGGTGCGTGCATTTATAATTTATTCATCCGCGTCGTGTCCTCGCGTCCTCTTTAGCGTGGAGACACGTGTCAGATAATCATCCCAACTACTACTCTATAGATGGAGAAAAAAGAGTTATAATGTGAGTGGCTCCACGGAAGTTATCCTACATCCTATCTTTCATCACCCTATCATTTTAATTTCTTTCTTCAAAAAATAAATTCAACAATTTTGTTTTGATTATTCTTCCAGATTTTACATAAATTCTATTCATCAGTCTGGCAAAAAGATTTTTATTAATTTTATAAAAGATTTGGTGATAATTTTATGTTGGATGAAATAAAATATTAAAATTTAAATTATATTATTAAAATACTTCATATTTATCCTATCGAAATAAATATTATTTTCATTTTTGTATTCGTTTTTTAAAGTAAAAACATTTAAATAAAATCCCTTTTGTCAAATATTTTGAGTCCAATTTGATCGGTATTTGTTTAATTTGGGACAAAACCCGCATAAGTTTATTTTTAGATTTCACACAAATGCTCTTTACCAAAAACACGTCTACTTAGTTATAAAAATTCAAACCTCGTAAACTTTATTTTCGTTGGATAATTTTGCAAACAATAAGATACGATATTTTTAGGTGTCAAACGTGGATGAATAGTAAAACTTTTAATGGACGGACCTCATACAAGGACTTTATAACAAGGGGGGTGAAAATGACAACTCTCATACTTCACTCAAAACCACTAAAGAAAATAAAAGCCTTTAATAGCCCGACTTGAAAGATGCTAGCACACTTTATTATACCGACCTTGGCGTCTTCATAATTTAGAATTGAATTAATGTCAACAATAGTTTATAATAATACGCAAAGCGTGTGGCTGCCACTTGTGACTAGACGTAGCCCAAACCCTAACCTCAACCCCACCACCTTGACCACTTGGCCTCGACCGGCCCCCGGTAACACAAGACCCGCCACCCACCGCTCTACGCGTCCATTCTCACTGCCATACAAATTTGTAATTGACGTGTCCCTACAGTTTAGGCTAAGTACGTTTGGTTCATAACATTCAGAAAGTAACATTTAGCTCCCTACACAAGAGACTTAAGTTTTTTTTTTTTTTTAGCCCCTAAGAATTAAAATGTTACTTTTTGATTTTACTCGACCAAATGTTACTAAACTAAACAAAGTATTATCGCTACCTGATATTAATAATTATAGAGAAACTTAAGGGTGGATTAATGTCACGAACAATTTTTTTTTTTTTTAGGAGATATCCAAAAAGGATACGATAAGTAAAATTAGGCATTTAGAATATCTTGCAATTACAATTTCTTTTAAAATGGGAATTACAATTACGCTATTATATAATTAGAATAGGAATTAGAGTCTTTTTAAGAATTATTTAAAGTCAAACGTAAGACTATATAATAACCTAAATCTATATTATACTTATAATTTTGTCAGTTAATCTTTCTGTCTTTTGTTCTTTAAGGTTTTTGTTCCTCGTATAAACATATCATATCTCAAATTCTATCATAATTCTAAACTAATTAAATAAAAATTTGCAGGAATTAGTTACAAGCTAGAAGATTTTAGATATAAGTATGGTTGAGTTGGATACATGTGTACTTTGATTTATTATAAGTCAAATTATTTGATCAAAATAAATAAATAAATCCAGTACCTTTCCATGCCACATAATTTAAGCTTTTATTCACATAAATACGGTCGCATTCTTTATTGTATAAAATTATAACATAAGTTATAGACTCTGTATATTTCAATCAAAACATTTTTTTAATATAATCACCTTATTACGTGCACACATTCATATTTATCTTTTTTAATGTACATTATTGTATATATTAAGCGCAATTTCAACCGTTGATGTCACAAAAGATTTAAATTTGATATACACCTCAGTGTTCGCTATGTTTTTTTGGCCCCCTAATTCACTGAACTTATTTTAGCCCCCCTATAATGCAATTCCCTAATGCAGTTTTCATTCTAACCCTTTTATTTGTTAAAAATTACACTTGACCCCTAAAAGAAATTGTCTGAATATTAATCTTAGTTTGGTAAACTAATCATTGAATTTCCACATATTTAATAGTAGAAAAATTTGTTAGTGATCGTTAAGACTAATAAAAACAAGCAACTTAGATAACCCTCCACCATATATGCAAGTTTCTTTTTAACCATTAAGAGAAATTAATTATCTTTAATTATGTGGGGTGAAAATTTTATCATTAATCTTCTCTTTATCTATCTATTCGCCATTATAATTTATGTTGTTTTTTTCTTTTCCAAATGAAAATAAAAACATCGAGATTTTATTAGACAGATATATCAATAATTCTAGTCACATGTTTTCATATTTAGATTAAGATGTTTAAATCAATTTCCACCCATTACAAGTTTGCAAGTTTAATTAGCCTTAGAATTAGGTGCACATTCAATAAATGTTAAGTCACCAAACTTTTTATAGCCAACCTTTTTAGCTCCAATCACAAGATTACTAAAAATATATGGCCCTTTGGTACACAATTTTTCTATCCAAAATAAGCATTTATTTTCTTATTCTTAAAATTATTATATTTTATTTAATTCTTTTAAACCCCGTAGGTTTCTTAATTTAACTAAACACCCCCCAAATTTTTTTTAAGAAATTTACAAAAACACCACAGCAACCCACATTTGCTAGATTCCGGCCACCACTACCAGAAGTTAGCCTGAATTTGGTATAATGGCACACTACCGGCTAGATCTTGCCGATAGTGCGCTAATCTAGCCTTTTCCGGCCAAATCCACTATGAATTTGGTTGGAAAAGACCATATTTATGACCAGATCTTTGGCCGTAGCTAGTCGTCAATGACAGCCAAAGATATGGCCATCATTGATAATCAACGACGGCCAGACTTAGCCGTCAATGGCCAGATCTAGCTGTAGATCAGACATTTTCTGACTAGATCCACCATGGATCTAGCCGAAAAATGACATATCGGTGCATGACTGGCTAGATCTAACCAGTCGTGCCCCAATACGATGACTCCGGCCACCCTCCGGCGGTGGTGGCTAGCTGTCGGTATTTAATGGAAGGGTGGGGGTGTTTTTGTTAATTTTTAAAATTTTATTATAGAGGTGTTTAGTAAATAAACAAACCTATGGGGTATTTTTGTTAATTTTCAAATAATGAACCAAATACTTTTTTTCAAAATATTATTCTAAAAAGTATTAAAATAATGAAACAAGTTTGGTAAACTAATTATTGAATTTCCACATATTTAATAGTAGAAAAATTTGTTAGTGATGTTAAGACTAGTAAAAACAAGCAACTTAGATAACCCTCCACCATATATGCAAGTTTCTTTTTAACCATTAAGAGAAATTAATTATCTTTAATTATCTGGGGTGAAAATTTTATCATTAATCTTCTATTTATCTCTCTATTCGTCATTATAATTTATGTTGTTGTTTTCTTTTCTAACTGAAAATAAAAACGTCGAGATTTTATTAGACAGATATATCGAAAATTCTTACCACATGTTTTCATATTTAGATTAAGACGTTTAAATCAATTTCCACCAATTACAAGTTTGCAACTTTAATTGGCCTTAGAATTAGGTGCACATTCAATAAAATGTTAAGTAAACAAACTTTTTCCACTCTACCTTTTAGCTCCAATCACAAGATTACTAAAAAATATAAATATTTGAAATACTTGGAATGGAACCAGAAATAAATTTTTGGTTAATGTTTAATTAATCAATAAAGTAAAAAAAACAAAATTAAGAATTTAGATTAATTAATTTAAGAATTTTTTTTTAATAAATTTTTGGTTAATGTTTAATTAATCAATAAAGTAAAAAAAACAAAATTAAGAATTTAGATTAATTAATTTAAGAATTTTTTTTTAATAAATT